GTGAGTCTGATCACTCCGTGTGTAGAATTTTCCTCATGCTCTTGGCCAATTTTAATTGAATTATTTGCAAAAGTTTTATAAAATGTTAAGCTGTTATTGTTATTAGCAGCTGAAAAGTCCAGAGTCAGTCATGGAGTTGATGACAGTCATAGAAGTAAAGAGGAGGAGAAAGGGACAGGTGAAGAGATGGAAGAGGAGGAGAATGAGAAAGATGAGAGGAAGCAGGAAAGAGGAGCTGGAACCAGTAAAAACGCAGTGTCAGGTTACATGTTCAGTGTGCAGGACTGTGTTCATGATGGGTTTTTGTATTAAATGATATTAACATTTTGAGATCTGAGGGTTGTAGTCTAAATCTAGTCTTTTTGACATCAGGCTGAAAATTCCACAATTTACCTTCAAATAYGTTTTTCTTTCTTCTGACTGAGCTTAAAACCAGTTTTATTTAGTGAGTATTCACACTCTCTAACATGATGATCTAAGCTGATTTTAGTACATTTGTTCATGTCCACAAATGTGTAAGATATAAAAATAGGTAAAATCTACATCTTTAACCACAGAAGACTCACTCTGGATACAAATATTTCACCAGATTTTTCTAGAGAAAGTGAAAGTATATTTGTTGGTGTGACAAAGACTAGTTTTGGACTAAAATGTTGGGATCTTAAGTGGCTCCAGTCACACAGAAACATTAAGCCTACAGTATATACATCTCTGCACGTTATGCTAGTGGCTTTCTGAATTAGACATCTGMTTTAATTTCCCATTGGTAATGAGCTATTTATCTTCATTATTACTGTTTCTTTTAATGCTGATAAAGCAGCACAAGAYACAGAGGTAAATGGATGGATATGTTCGGTCTAAGTCTATCTTTTGAGGTTGGTTTTTGTTTTCCAGTATTTGCTTTGATATTTAAGATAAGCTGTTTGTTGTAGTTGATTGCTGAAAAACAGTGTTTTAATCCTGCAAATAATGCATCAGTGTTAAAATTATTTTTTCTGCTTGCGTCCGTTCTGTGATTAGATAAAAGGCCTCTCTAAACCAAGCTCCTGGGCTGAATTTTAAAACCCAGCCTGCCTCTGCAGATAGATAGGGATAAGAAAAGGAAATGTGTTTGGAGAAGAGATACAGGAGTGACTAACAGATGATTGAGGAAAGTTTTGCAACTCCATAACAAATTGTACACTGTGCTGCAGCAGTTTTCACTCAGGTACACTTTTGTAAAGTTGTTGTCTGTGGTTTGTTTGAGCTTCTTGTTTGGCATCTGTTGAATCATTAAACATTGTTGTGTTGATGATAAACATTTAGCATATGTTTCACTATATTTGGTTATAGACTGGGATTAGAAAATACAGTATATATAT